AGACCACTGCTCTGTTTTCTGTTCCTAGAATGTTTCCTTTTCCTAGAATGTCATAGAATGGACTCAAAGTCTACATGACCACAGTGATTTCCTCCATTTAACATAATGCTTTTGAGATTTATCCATGTCATTGCAAAAGTGATAGTTTGCTCCTTTTTATCCTGGATAGTATTCCATTGTATGGAGTCAACACATTTGTCCATTCCCTAGTGGACATTTGGTTGTTTCCACTTTTTGGCTATTATGAGTAAAGCTGCTATGAACATTCACATACAGATCTCTCTGTGAATATGTTTTCATTCTGTTCAGTAAATACTTAAAAGTAGAATTGCTGAGTCAAGTTATTAGTCAACTTAATATTCTCTTTTATTCATTCATAATGCTTTCCATTCTCATCCCTAATCCTACCTCATTTCCTCCAGTTAGAGAGTTGTTTGTTTGTAAAAAAAACAAACAAAAAAACCCTAGACATATGAAAAATGACAGGTATGTTAATCTGTTCAACAGGTTAGCTGAATTCCAGGGGGAAGATAGATTTATTGGTATAAAATTCGCAAGCCTCTCTGCTAACATTTATATGCTCTTCTGTCTTGTCATTCCTGCTGAAGAACTTACTCTGCCTCTCTGTGGTCTTTACCAAATTTGGCTCCCCATTATCTCATTGTTATTGTTTTTTAAAATGTCATGTATTATTTTAAAGATTTTATTTATTTATTTTTAGAGAGAGGGGAAGGGAGGGAGAAAGGGAGGGAGAGAATCATCCATGTGAGAAAGAAACATCGATCGGATGCCTCTCTTCCAACTGGGGACCTGGCCCGCAACCCAGGCATGTGTCCTGACTGGAAATTGAATCTGAGACCTTTTGGTTCACAGGCTGGCACTCAATCCACTGAGCCACATCAACCAGGGCTGTTGATCTTGCTTTTCACTCTTTCCCTCCACTCTTAGTCTGAGGTCTGCCACAGAAGCCTTACCTGGGCCTGAGCTTTCTCCTGTCCCTAATGCTCATTCTCTTCTCTCTAAATGTGGCATCCTTCTAGGCCCAGGTAAAATTCCATCTTTATCTCCTCATTAATCTCCTATCATTTTGGAGCTTACACATACACCTTCCTGCACTATTTTCCAACTGTTCCAAGATGAATGTCTTCTTCCTCCAAGGGTTATGTCAGCTTCAAAGTTGAGGATGCATTCTCTACTCCACATGCATTTCTCTTCAATGTTCTGCACATAGCAAACAACCTTTCAAAGCACTTATCTATGGATGAAAGTATGGATATAACATTCTTCCATCACTTATGTACAGGGTTTACAAATATAGTTTAGGGGAGGTCTAAACAGTCCATTTAGAACATGAATGATACCATCTTCCTTTCTATTTTTCAAATGAAAATTCTTTCCTTGTTCAATTAAGTCAGAAAATGGTTGAAGGTTAAATAAGTGACACTTAAAGGTGTATATTCATCCTACCCTATGCCAGATTTTCCAACTTCCTAAAAGTACCCCTGTGTAATGCCAGCAATTTGCTTGACTCAGTGTGGGAGGACAGGAAATTCAAAATGAGTCTGCTTAAATTATAGTTGCTAAATATAAATGATAGAGAAGAAACACCTAAAATAAGTTGCCCATTGAGGCAGCGTGGGGTTGGGGGTTACAAACTTAGTAGGCCTCAATGAGGTCTACTCAAAAATCACTTACTTTAAATTCCAAGAACATGTTACCTATGAAACACTAGAGCCTAGCAAAGAAATTGCTTATTTTAGATGCTAGTTCTAAGAGAAGCTCTAACCCGTAGCCTTCCTCAGCAAATGTAACATAGTGTAGTTTGGCTGAGGATGAGAAGGTGGACACATGTGGTCACCTCCATCTTCAGAAGAGTATAGCATGAGAAACAAGCAGAAATGCATGAAAATTTATCCCTCCACGTAAATATGCACCAGATGGAACAATCCCACTAACACAAGGAGTGTACACTGAAGGCCTCAGCTCAACATACACTGTGTCTCCAATTTCTGATCAATGCCAGGTATCTTTGAGAAAAACATGTTCAGCAACACCAAAAGCATTATCTGGTCTGATATGAATCCATGGCCTAGGTGTCCCTACAAGACAAGCATGCGCCTGGTCATGGTATTTGAAGAAAAACCAAAGAGGAAGGAAATGAGGTCACAATTATAAACATATTGGATAATACTAATAATCTCCAGTTAAGAAAAATATAAAAACTCTGACAGGATTTACTCATGATTTTGGAAATCACCGATGATATAGCAATGGTGAACATGACTTTGTTCCTTCAATACAGAACACTGAGATCAGGGACTAGGACATACAATCCTTAAGATGTAAGTCTAAGATGAACATAAAAATAACTAATGCAAACATAGAAAACTCATTACTCCTAAAATATAAGGCAAACTAAATGAAAGCTTCCAAAAATGTGAGAGAAGTTCCTCAATCAAAAATATGTGATTGAGGGAAAGAGTGTCATGGTTTCTGGAATGACATGGAAATGTGCAACTCTCCCAGGTGGTAAGTAGGTGTTCTGAACTTCTTTTTATAGTAAATTATGTTATAGTTAAGTTTTCTCCTTTGGGATGCCAGTGTTTATTTTTAAACAGGGTAACAATTTTAAAATAAGCTACTTCTAAAAACTCCCTGAATATTGTTTTAGGACCAAGATACAGTTAACTTCCAGAAAAGGTTATACATGGTAACATTTGAGTGGTTCCAAATGCAATTTCCCAGAAGCTGTAGAGAATTAGGTTATTAGACTGGAAATGGCAGAGCATCTGGAAGAGGCTGGTTCTGACTCCAGCAGTAGTTCTTGGCTCTGCTCAGTTGTGTGATCCTGGGCAGGTTACTTCACTGGTCTATGGTTCCATCTCAACCTCTGTGACATAAGGGAGAAGCTGGTCCAGAAGGTAGCTTTCAGGTCCCTATCATCTCTAAAGGTCTATAGTTTAATTTGGCCTTTGGAGAAAAGAACACATGCAATTGAGTTCTTTTATTATCTTCTATCACAGGTCTCAGAAAGATGTCATTGATCCTTGATTTTATATATGTACTTCTTGTGAGTGTTTCAGAACTGTTTGTTACCTCCTTGACCATTGTTTCCATGATCTAATTGTATACTTTCCCACCTAAATTCTGTGAGGGCAAAAACCACACTACATTTAACTTTGTAACCCTTGAGCCTGCATATAATAAGGGCTCAAGGAATACTTTGTAAACAAATCAGTTACATTTTAAAATATAAGTGAGTCATTAATCTCTCTGAAGTGATTATATTTATTTAGAGCCAAAAATAATTTTAAAAATCCAGTGGGACCTTGTTATAGACTGTATTGTGTCCCCTCAAAATTCCCATGTTAATGCCCTATACCTCAGAATATGATGGTATTTGGAGACAGGGTCTTTAAATAGATAATTAAGTTAAAACAAGGTCATTCAGTGGGGCTTAATCCAACAGGGCTGGTGTCCTTATAAGGAAAGAGATTAGGACACAGACACGCACAGACAGAAGACAGTATAAAGACATGAGAAGAAGATAGTTGTCCACAAGCCAAGGAGAGGTCTCAAAAGAAATCAACCCTAAAGATATCTTGAGTTTGAAGTTTCAGCGTCCAGAATTGTGAGAAAATAAATTTCTGTTGTTCAAGCTATCTAGTTGTTATGGAAGCCGCACAAACTAATATAGGCAGAAAGCCTCACCTGCAAGTGACCACCTTTTTAATAGAAAGGTAATATATCCAAATAATCTGCATATATGTGTGTGTGCATGCACATGTATGCATGTATGCATGTGTATGCTCATACACTAGCTGCATTGCCAGACTGAAAGTCTGTTATTTTTTTTTCCCCCTTGGCAAGCTGTTCTGGCATGATTTAGACAGTGTGTTACTCTGTGGAAGGCAGGGCCCACCTCCATCTGGCATCCCTCTGTGTGCTAAAACTGGATTTAAAAGGGGAAAAAAAAGGAAACCATCTGGTCAGGCACCAGTACCCACTCTACTAGAGGAAACTATGGCTTTAGGTTCTGAACTACCAGCCTTCTGCTTGACAGAATCCATCAGCCTTTCCCAAGGCTTCCTCCCAGATCCAGATGGCTGACATCCTGAGCCTCCTTGCCTGTGACTCTGCCCTGCCTCCCACATTCACTGAGAGAGGCTGCCAGGCACCACAACTACTGCTCCCTACACCAGTGCCCCCAGCTCTCACCCAGACTCTGCAAGCTCCCACTTCTGTATAGCTACAATGTGGCGAGAAATCAGTCATAATGGCAACTCCAAGACTGTGCATTTCAGAAGCTCTGTGATACAGCCACCTGTGTTTACTGCCTTGGAATTTCATAAAAATTTATCTATGCTCAGATAGCCAGCAACAACCAGTCATACCCTGACAGGCATCAATCCAGAGATGAGTATGGAACATACCTGAGCACCTCAGAGAGGAGGGCTTGGGGGGAGACTGTTATCTCAAGTTATTCATTGGTTACAGAGAACATAAAGTAGCATCAGACACCCATCTAAGTCCTTAAGAAATGTCTAAGGTGTTCAAGACACTTAAAAACCACCAGGTAAATACATTTTAAATGAATGCTTAAACTATTATTCCCATTTCAATAAACTTGAATATTTCTAAGCTATTCAAAGGAAAAGGCACATTTTTCTTTGGATTTAATAGCACAGTGCTTGAGGAATGTGGGCTTTAGAGCCAGAATAGCCTCACAACCTGGCTCCCCCCCAACTCACTAGCAGCATGGCCTTGGCAAGTAACTTCAGCATCCTGGCTTCACTTTGTTCACCTATAAAATGAGGGGTAAGACTAATACTTCCCCTATAGGGTTGTTATTGAGCTAAAATGCTTTACTACTGGAAAGCACTTGAAACAGTACTTAATGGGCAGAACACAGAAAGTGTTAATAAATGTTAGCTACAAACACAATGTATTATATTTTCCCCTAAGAACCACCATACAAGCCCTGATATGAGATGACATACCTTAACTTTGGAGTTCTCTATCAAATGCTGAGCCATGGATTTTATCAAAACATCAAAGAAAAACCATGAATACTGAAAGGAAAAAAAAGATTCCCGTAAGGAAAACAAACAGTTAGATGAGATGTTTATTCTCTTAGGCTGGCAATGTTACTGACATAAAATAGATGTGATCAAAAAACATGGCTGAGCCTCTTAGTGAATTATTTTCAGACCAGAGCTGTGTGGCAGGTGTTCCCCTGCTTTCACATGTCTGACAGTACGTGACTCCTTCCCCCTATGAAATAAGGCATAAGCTCATCATGACATGACCCCCGCAAGTGGCACTGCTTGATTAGATGTGCACTCTTTCCTCTTGGCAGAGTCTTGCTTGCTGACACTTGCCTGTATAATCTCTAATTCACAGTCCTCCAATGATTTAAATATAATGACTTATTAATAACTAGAGGCCATGGAACTTTGAGTATAATAATAATTTGCAGCTTCAATAGAGGCACTAGTACAAGTGGCAAAGTTGGAATTGAAGAACTAACTCTGTTACCACTTTTTATGAGGTGACGATTGCCTGTAAAATCACACAAAAAGGGTAAATTGATCAAGCTGAGGAGTTTGAATTTTCTTTAATCAGTTTAAATACTGCAGAGTCACACTGGCCCCCCAACATACCTTAAGTAGTTTGTTGCTGGTGAGAAAGTCGGCAGAAGGCTTGAGTATTGTGGTCATGGATTTGGTCAGTTCTTCATGCACTGTCTTATATTCAGAGGCAATATATGGTTCAGCCTTATAAGCATACTTGGAAGAAAAGGAAAAGATGATTTAATGTACTCATTCTCCAGGTTGAGACAAACGCTGAACAAGCTCCAAAATGTGAGGATCAGCTACTGAGATACAATCGCATGGGGAGGAGAGGACAGCGTGGAAACCGTAGGTGGGAAGGATTGTTGTCATGTGACAAAGAGGGAGCTCAGGATGTCTTTGGGGAACTTATCAAAATATGTGAATCACCTGACTCAGGTCAGTGGTCCTCCAGCCCACAGCTCCACCTCCTAAGGACTTCATGAAATGTGTCAAACAACACTGGGTAACTGATACACTGAACAACCTGACCTTTATTTTTTAAATGAACTCATAGCTATAATTCATAGAGTGTTTAAGACTAAATGGAATGTGTGTAACTGTTTAGAACAGTAACTGCCACTATGTTTACTAAATATTGTATATAAATGAAGAATTTGTTGATATTTATCCCAACAACATCTCTTGCTGTCCCATGTAGTCGTCTACTAAGATGGCGGGCAGAGCTAACCTTTCTATCTTGGGAAAAGCAGTTTTCCAGGGAATTTTAGATGGGAAAAGGAAAGATGAAGACAACCAGCTATGCCTGAGGCCTAGCTAAGAGCAACTTAATAGTCTTTAAACTTCCACATCATTTGGGTCACATTATTTGCAAAACCCATTAAAAGAAATGTAGCTGACAAAATATCAAATAAATAAATGAAAAGCTGCCCCACTTTGGACTTCTCCTCCTCTAGGTGCAAGTGCTGGCTATATATGGAGAAAAAGCAGAGATACTAAGTTTCATCCCAAAATACATCCAAAAATAACTAGATTTAAAAAAAATAAGCTCTAGAAGGAAAATTGGAGAGCCACGGATTTAAATGATTGGGACAATTTATTTTACATACCTTAACATATGACCTCAAGTGGCTCTCCAATCCTTCCTCATGGCACTGGGCAACCACATGAATTATGACCCTACACACCATAGGAATGAATAAAGCCATGAATAGTAATGTGAAAATGGAAACATTTCATTATTATCACAGTACTTAGAACAATGATGATGTTACTGGCACCACAGGAAACAAGGAATTAGATGGGATCTCTACATATGGGATCAAAAGGAATTTCTTAAATATAATGTTTAACACATACTAGCATCCCTGATATGTATGGCTGTGCTCCACACAGGGACAGAACTGAAGGGAAGAAGAGTATCCACCTTCCCACCTCTCTCACCGTGTCACATTGACAGCGACTTCCTCATGAGTTGCTCTGGTGAGGACACGAAATAGCTGGTTTAGGATGGTGGGCAAAAAGGCAATCATCACATGGCCTTCCATTGCATGCAGGCTCTACAGACATGGAATACCAAAGTTCAAGTTATCCTTTTTAAAGTAAACTAACGATAAGCAATCTCCACTCAATTTCAAAGAAGGATGGAAGATGTCCATCTAAAACAACTGAAAGACAGTGGCAAGCAGAATGAAGGACAACAATGTCTACATTTTAATCTGCAGAATCTGTGAATATGTTACATGGCAAAGGGGAGTTAAGGATGCTAACCAAGTGGCCTTAAGAGAGGGGGATGTTCCTGAATTTACCCAGGTGGGCCTGATATAATCACAGGGTCCTTAAAAGTGGAAGGGGGAGACAAAAGAGGAAAAGTTGGGGGACACGGGTCTAAGAAAAATTGTCCAAGGTGCAAATTTGTTGGTTTTGAGATGGACAAAGTGGCCACATGCCAAGGAATGTCGTCAGTGTTTAGAAGCTGAAAAGGATAAGAAAAGAGATTCATCCCTGGTTTCCAGAAAGGAAACTCCCAATTAATAACACCCTGATTTAGTCCAGTGAAGCTTATGCCAGACTTCTGACATACATATGTGTAAGATAATAAATTTGTGTTGTTTTGAGCCACCAAGTTTGTGGTAATTTCTTACAGGAGAAATAGGAAACTAATATAAGGGCTCTTCTTCAAGTTAACATATATGAAAGCTCTTCTTCAAGTCACATGGCTCATAAGATAGCTGAAAGAGGATTTGGCACAGCAGAAATTCAGGGTCCCCCTTCCATTTTCCTTGCTTAAATCAAACAAACTTCTATTCCATTTCTCATGTTTCTTACATTTTCTCCACATGCCTGGAATGTCCTTTTAGCTATGCTCCTTCTAAAAAACATTCACTTTGAATCATGTTCTGGATGAAACTCCCTTAGACAAACCCTCCTTGCTCCCACTATGCAATGACTCTAGGAGTCTTCCTAACCCTGCACAAAGCTGGGGTTGGTGGAATGTAATATTTGGGTTTTTTTTAAACCCACCTAGTATGCATTCATGAAGCTTACGTTATCTCCTACGATGAACCAGAAGTTCCTAAATTGTGGGACTAAAGGCAGGGATGAGGACGAAGATGGGAGGAGCACTATTTCTGAGTCCACTTCTTGACACTATCTAAAACCATATAGAAGCTGTTGGTATGAGAGTATCTAGTAAAAAGCATTCTTATAACACTCACCACCAAACGTAAAACCAAATCAACTCCAAACTCATTAAAAAGGGGTTATTAAGAAATCCATCAGATACCTTAAGATATTTTACAAGTTCATTCCCTAAGGCTTGGGCTCCAGATTCAGTTTTCTGACAGTACTGGAAAAAATTATGCAAATGCTGATCCTGGGGGAGGGGGTAAAGAAAATAAAATAAAAGCTTATTAACACATCTGCTGTAGAAAGAGGAGTATTTGTTTCTTGCAGCATGCATGTTTTCTTTAGACTATGAAACTAATAAAGGAAAACATAAAAAATAAAAACATCAAAGAGATACAAATAAAAATAAATTTTAAAAAGGTTTCAAAAGATTCTCCAACAAAAGAGGAAAACTGTTAAGAAATGTTACTTGTACTGCTCATTTATTTCAGTACATGAGTACCTTATATGTAATTCCTTTCTTCACAAGAGTCTTACAGAGTAAAAATATATCCATGTAACATATCAATTAGACTTTTGTTTGGCAAAAAAATCATACAAACGCATTCACAGAGCCATCACTGCTAATTTTAACAGAATAGCGCATACCTGAGTATACACTGTAGAAACCAGATGAGTTGAAACTTTCAGCAGTGGCTTGCTTCCATCTACCCATTTAATTTCTGGACCATAATGCTGAAAAACATAGAGGGGAAAAAACACCCCAACAAATCAGTGATCTTGGCTTCAATCACCATCTTGAATGAGGGTACTGATGAGATTTGAAGACCCAAACAGCTTTGGTGACTTGACAATCATGCCTATGCCTGGCTCACAGCAGAAATGCAACCAACACTACTAATTTCTGTCCAATTTCTACAAATACGATGCTCCTCTTACTGGATTTTCTAAGTTATCTTTTCTGTTTGGTTGCAGCTGTAAGAATTACTGTCCATTTGAGAGGGAAAGAATCCTGTTTCACCAGTGACTTAACCAAACTTGAGTTTGGGATTCTGAAAGTGATGGCACAAGTTATCAGATACAGCAAATAGGACAGTGAGCATCCCTGGCATAGTCAAAGGGTCAACAGCTGTTGGTGCTTATTTGAGTTTCAAAAACTTCCATTTTTCTCATGTCCAGATTAGGAATTATAAGGGAATGTTTTATGACTTATCCTTATTTTGGAATATTTAAACTATTTGTCCATAACATGGGTCAACATTTGGCACTATTTAAAATGTAGAGAAACACTACAAGCCATTCAAAATGAAATGGAACAAACCTTATCTACGCATGTTATAAATCTGAAGTCTATAAAATCTAAGATAACTAAAAAGAGTGTAAAACCCACAAATCCACTGGAGAAATCTAAGACAATTCAGGCTTTAATGAACCAGAAAGGTATCAGAATGGGCTACCACGTGGATAAGAGATTTGCTTATTAGACTTATTACATTAAGTTGGAAGACAATTCCTAATTATTTGCATGACCCTACTAACGCATCTGTATTTGAGCATGGCTAGTTTACAGAGATTTTCTACCTTATCCAGCATCTCCAAATTTCTACCTCATCTGGTATCTCTAAGTCTCCACATCCCTGTTGAGGCACTGCTACTTCTGGGCTTATACTAAAATTATAACCGTAATTTTAGGTTGTGATATCATTAATATCACTGAATTCCACTGGCCTAAGTTTACTTGAAAATGAACAATTAAAGCCAAAATGTTAGGACTGGCAAAAATACTATGTGCTTTTTTGTGTTATTGGTGCTTTAATTGGTCTTTAATGTTTTCTGAAGGACTTGGGATAAACCAGTATTAAGGTCCTATACCCTGCCCATCCCAAGCTCCTGGTAGCCAAGGTAGCCAGACGGTAGATTAGCTGAGACAGGAATGTGCTGCTCATTAGTCACCACCCTTCCATCTTTCAGAAGAGGAAGCCAGGAATATCCAACTGTTGGAACAAAGCACAGAAAAATTCACTGTAAATGTACAAAAACTTATGAAAGAAAGCTAATATTACTAAATTGCCTGATCTTTAAGAACTGTCACTATCAATCAGGGTTAAGAAATTGGAAAGAACCTGAGTATAGTCTCTGCAGAACATTGTCTACAATGTATTTTGACTGCTCTGGGATTAGAATTCTAAAATTGTCTTTTATAGAAATTTACATATACAAGCCAGGCATGCTATCTTCACAAACATTATCTAAAAAGTCCTTTGCAAAAGAATGTAAATTCAGATCAAAATAAAATTTAAGAACCTAATGTACAAGTTATAAACAATCAAAGGAATGATGAAATTTCAAACCTTGTGTTTCAACAACATCCTTCTTTTTTGTGCTTCCTTTACTTGAATTATCACAGCTGACATGGAAAAATGTGAACAACAAGTGGTGTTTTTCATGTAGCTGGGTGGGCAATTCTATTTTAATCTGCAAGGGAGACAAAATAACAATTTTTCTAATATTCCAAAACAACAAAATTTCTTTTTTTAAAAAGATACTTTTATTTATTTTTAGAAACATGGCAAGGGAGGGAGATAGAGAGGAAGAGAAACATCAGTTGGTTGAGTACATGCCCCAACTAGGGACTGAACCTGCAATCCAGGCATGTACCCTGACTGGAAATTGAACCAGCAACTTTTTGGTCTGTGGGACGACTCTTGTTCAACTGACCCATACCAGCTAGGGCCAAAGCAACACAACTTCTTGGTGAAAGCAGCCACACAATGTGTCACCCAATAGTAATATGTAAGTGTGCATTTGGTCTCTGGTCAAAGAAGTCTGAGACTAAATTGTGATAAGGAAGAAATGGATTCTTAATACAATGTTAAGACTGTTATGGTTGGAATGTTTGTGCCCCTTCCCCTCAAATTCACATGTTGAAATTCTAACCCCCAAAGGTGATGGTTAATAGGGGCCTTTAGAAGTGATTATGTCGTGAGGGTGGACCCTCATAAATGGGATTGATGCTCTTATATAAAAGAGATCCTACAGAGCTCCCCAGCCCTCTCCACCACATGAAAATACAACTGAGAACATGTGACCCAAGAGATGGCCCTTGCTTGACCATGCTGCCACTCTCATCTCAGACTTCTAGCCTCTAGGGCAGTAAGGAATAACCATTTGCTGTTAATAAGCCACTCAGTCTGTGGTGTTGTATTATAGGAGCATGAACAGATTAAGACATTACTAATCAAGAGAGGAAGATGGCGGAGGAGTGAATGGGAGTCACGCTGACCTCCTCCCAAGACCAAACCGGAATTGCGACTATATAGTGGAGAAATTGCCTGGAAAACAATGGAACAATAGAGGGAGAGAAGCCTTGGAGCCGTGGACAGACAGGGGATTCAACTCTCACACATCCCAATGGGTGAGAAGTGCGGTGGAGGCTCAAGAGGGTGGGCTGGGTGCCCAGAGGCACCAGCACCAGAGGGACATTGAAACGGCCAGTTGGAGCCCCGAGAAGAACAGGGTCTGAACCATAAACAGGGACCCCTAGACTACAGCAGCTAAAACCAGGAAAACACAGAGACAAAATGCAACCCCGAAAAGCTTAGGGGTACTCTCTGCCAGAGACAGGAGGCTGGGGATGCAAAGAGACATTTAAAGGGCCAATGCACAAATTTGCAGTGGCAGCCGCTCTCCTTGTTCTCTGGGTAGAGGCGGCAGCAGAGTGGACTGGTGGCTGGGAAAAGACTGGTGAGGAAAACTGTGAAGAGAACTGAGACAGTGGCTGGCGGAACCCCAGTGATAACTGACCTCCCACTCTGCAGCTACCATCTCGGTCAGGCATAAAGGAATCAATTAACCTGCCTTTTGTGCATTCCGCACACAGCTCATGCGTGTGAGAGCTTGGGGACTAAGTGCAGACTGACTGGAAGAAATAGAGGATCCCTGGCCAAAGGAGTCACACAGCTGCATAGAGAGCCTTGAGGAGAGACTAGAGACGGAGGCGTTGGGGAAAGAACGGGAGGAGGAACCGGGGAGTCCTGACTCCTTCTCCTTTCCATAGTCTCTATTGTGCGGGAACAGGCCACACGCTCAAAGAGTCAAAAGCTGAAAAGCACACAATAGCCCAAAACCACCCTGTGCAGGCACGCACACTCATGCCGAGTAGCCGGCAAGGGTTGGCAAGCATGCGAGTGGACCCAGGTGGGCTGGCGAGGGTTCCTGTAGGTTGGGGCAGACAGGGCCTGTGAGGGAGTGCGCAGATCGGCGGGGGCAGGTGTAAACCGACCTGCGCGGGTCCCTGAGTGCAGAGTGGTCTGCAGACATAGTGGATCCCAGGACGAAGGGGTCAAAGAGCTGCCCAGAGTCCCTGGAGGAGAGACTGGAGACAGTATGAACCAGAGAGTCCTGGAGCTGACTTCCTCCCATTTCCATAGTCTCCATTTTCCGTGGACAGGCAATGCACCCAAAGAGCCAAAAGTGGGTAAAGCACACAATAGAAGACCCTAAACTGACCAGTGCCGGGGTGCCTGCCGTGCTGGGAGGCCAGACGATTGTGTGAGGTCGCAAATAAGCCCCCTGGGCTGGGGCAAGCACGTGTGAGCCCAGGTGGGCAGGGGATCCTGCCGGGCCCAGGAGCATGCTCAAGTGGCTGGCGTAAAAGTGGAGAGCGATCCACAGAAATAGTGGATCCCTGGCCGAAGGGGTAACAGAGCTGCCCAAAGCAGGAGTCAGACGCAGACAGTAGATTACTGGAAGGCTTCAACAAGTGACCCAAGGTCATATAAGGTCAATAACTGACATCATCAAAGGCAGGCCCAGAAAGAAAAGCAAAGAAAATAAATAGGTAAGTAAGTAAGTAAATATATAAATAAATAAAAGACCCGCCTACTACCATAGAAGTTTAATCCACAAAGTCAGGAAATCTAGACAGATCAATTGAAGTAGAAGCATAAATAAATAAATAAATAAATAAATAAATAAATAAATAAATAAATTACTTAATAGACTCTCACAAAAATGGGAAGAAAAAGAACTTCCCCTCAAATGAATGGAAAAGGGGAATCCCCACAGGGAGAGCCAAATGAAATAGAGGCGAGGGAACTATCAGATATTGAATTCAAGACAATGGCTCTAAGGAAGCTCAATGAGCTCAGCCAGCTCACAAATAACTATGAGACACTGCAGGGAAACTATCAGGAACTTACGGCAAACTATAGCAACTGGGAAAAGGACATGGAAACTATCAAGAAGACACAAGAGGATATGAAGAATGCCATTTCTGAACTGAAGAACACAGTAGAAGGAATCCAAAGCAGGCTGGATGAAGCCAAGGATCGAATCAGTGAGATGGAGGACAAGGTAGAAAAAAGCTCCCAGAAAGAACAAGAAATGGAAAAACGGCTCAAAAAGAATGAAGAGGCATTTAGGGAAATGCAGGACAACCTGCAACACATTATTATCCGCATACTAGGGATACCAGAAGGAAAAGAAGAGGAGCAAGGGATAGAGAACCTCCTCGAAAAAGTAATGATGGAAAATTTCCCTCATTGGAGGAGAGAAAGGGTCTCATGGATCCAGGAGGCACAGAGGGCCCCCCCTCAAGAGGGACCCAAGGGGGTCCACTCCAAGACACATCATCATTAAAATGGCAACTCTCAAAGACAAAGAGAGAATCCTCAAGGCAGCAAGGGAGAAGGAGAAAGTAACATACAAGGGGGCCCCGATACGCCTAGGAGCTGACTGCTCAACAGAAACACTACAAGCCAGAAGGGAATGGCAACAAATGTTCCAAGTCATGAAAAGCAAGGGCCTACAGCCAAGGCTGCTCTACCCAGCTAGGCTCTCCATTAAAATAGAAGGGGAAATAAGGAATTTCCCAGACAAAAAAAGGCTAAAAGAACACATCTCTACCAAAACAGCACTCCAAGATATGCTCAAGGGACTGGTTTAAGAAGATGAAGGAAAAGAGTGAGAAAGAGAAAAACACAGGTACAAAGGGAAAAAATGAACAATTTTCTATCAATAATATCTCTCAATGTGAATGGACTAAATGCCCCAATCAAAAGACACAGGGTAGCTGAATGGATAAGAAAACATGACCCACACATATGCTGCCTACAAGAGACCCACCTCAGAACAAAAGACCTACACAGATTGAAAGTAAAGGGATAAAAAAAAATATTCCAAGCAAATGGGCAAGAGAAGAAAGCAGGAGTTGCAATACTTAAAACAGACGAAATAGATTTCAAAACAAGGGCCATAAAAAGAGACCCAGAGGGGCACTTTATACTACGTAAAGGAAGACTCTATCAAGAGGACATAAACATTGTAAACTTATATGAACCCAACATAGGAGAACCCAAATATATAAGGAAAATCTTGGACGACTTCAAAAAAGATATAGACAGCAACACACTGATAGTAGGGGACTTCAACACCCCACTGTCAAAAATGGACAGATCTTCCAAACAAAACATCAACAAGGATATTGTGGAGCTGAACGACGCACTGAATCAAATAGACTTCACTGACATATATAGAACCTTACATTCCAAAGAAGCGAAATACACATTCTTTTCAAATGTGCATGGAAGTTTTTCAAAGATAGATCACAGGATAGGAAACAAAGCAAACCTCAGGAAATTCAGGAAAACTGAAATAGTAACAAACTTTTTCTCGGACCACAAGGGCTTGAAACTGGAAATCAACCTCAGAGAGAAACTTCAAAAACTTGCAAACTCATGGAGACTGAACAGTAGACTATTAAACAATGAATGGGTCAATAAGGAGATAAGAGAAGAAATCAAAAAGTTTCTGGAAACAAATGAAAATGAACAGACAACAGTCCAAAACCTATGGGACACAGCAAAGGCAGTCCTGAGAGGAAGTTCATAGCAATACAGGCCTACCTAAAAAGGAAAGAAACATTTCAAATAAAAGACCTAACACTACAACTTCAAGAACTGGAGAAACAACAAATAAATCCCAGAGCATGTAGAAGGAAGGAAATAATCAAGATCAGAGCAGAACGGAATGACATAGAGACGAAAAGAACAATTCAAAGGATCAACCAAGCCAGGAGCTGGCTCTATGAAAAGATAAGTAAAATCGACAAGCCTTTAAGCAGACTCCTCACGAAAAAAAGGGAGAGGACCCAAACAAATAATATCAGAAATGAGAGGAGAAATAACAACTGATACCACAGAAATACAAAGGATTGTAAGAAACTACTATAAACAATTATATGCCAAGAAATTGGAAAACCTCGATGAAATGGACAAATTTCTAGAAAAGTATAATCTTCCAACACCGAAGGAGGAAGAAACAGAAAGCTTGAACAGACCGATAACAGCTGGGGAAACTGAAGCAGTCATCAAGAAACTCCCGGCACACAGAAGCCCTGGGCCGGATGGTTTCACAGGAGAATTTTACAAAATATTTAAGGAAGAGGTAACCCCTGTCCTTCTCAGACTATTCCAAAAAATCCAAGGGCAGGGAAGACTCCCAGACTCTTTTTATGAGGCCAGCATCGCCCTAATCCCAAAACCAGATAAAGACCCTACAAAGAAGGGAAACTACAGGCCAATTCCGCTGATGAACATAGATGCTAAAATCCTCAGCAAAATATTGACAAACCACATCCAGCAACACATTAAAAAGACTATCCACCATGATCAAGTGGGATTCATCCCAGGGATGCAGGGATGGTTCAACATACACAAGTCAATAAATGTAATACATCATAAACAAAGGAGAGACAAAAGCCACATGATCATCTTGATAGATGCAGAAAAAGCACTCGATAAGACACAGCACTCAGCAAAATGGGAATAAATGTGGCATTCCTCAACGGAATAAAGGCCATATATGAAAAACCTACAGCCAACATCATACTCAACGGGCAAAACCTGAAAGCTTTCCCACTAAGATCAGGAACACAACAAGGATGTCCACTTTTACCACTTCTATTCAACATTGGAAGTCCTAGCCACAGTGGTCAGACAAGAAAAAAAAATAAAAGGCATCCGCATAGGAAAGGAGGAAGTAAAACTATCCTTTTTTGCAGATGACAGGATGGTGTCCATAGAAAACCCTGTAGACTCCACCAAAAAACTACTGAACCTAATAAGTGAATTTGGAAAAACAGCGGCATACAAAGTCAATATTCAGAAATCAAAGGCATTTTTGTACACCAGCAATGAAATAGAAGAAGAAATCAGAAAAAAAAGTACCATTCGATATAGCAACAAGAAAAATAAAGTACCGGAGAATAAATTTAACCAAGGGGGTAAAAGACCTGTATGCACAAAACTATACAACATTGAAGAAAGAAATGAAGGAAGACACAAAGAAATGGAAGCATAAACCGTGCTCGTGGATTGGAAAACTTAATATCATCAAAATGTCCATACTACCCACAGCAATTTATAGATTCAACGCAATCCCTATTAAGATACCAACGATGTATTTCACAGAAATAGAACAGACATTTCAAAAATTTATATGGAACCACAAACGACTCCGAATAGCTGCAGCCATTTTGAGAAAGAAAAACAAAGTAGGAAGGATCACAATACTGGACATCAAACTATATTCCAAAGCCACCATACTCAAAACAATCTGGTACTGGCACAAGAACAGACCCATAGACCAGTGGAATAGAATAGAAAGCCCAGAAATAAGCCCAGGTCTATATGGGCAACTAATATTTGACAAAGGGGGCAGAAGCATAAAATGGAGCAATAAGAGCCTCTTCAACAAATGCTGCTGGGAGAGCTGGACGGCTACATGCAAAAAATTGAAATTGGATCATCAGCTGACACCATACACAAAAATAAACTCAAGATGGATAAAAGACTTAAATATAAGTCACAACACCATCAAAGTCCTAGAGGAGAACATTGGCAGGAAACTCTCAGATATCCCACGCAGCAATTTTTTCACAGATATGTCTCCTAAAGCAAGGGTCATAAAGGAAAGAATAAACAAGTGGGACCTCATCCAAATAAGAAGCTTCTGCACGGCTAAAGAAAACATCAGCAAAATGAAAAGGGAGCCAAACCTATGGGAAAATATATTTGCTAATGATACATCAGATAGAGGTTTGATCTCCAAGATATATAAAGAACTCACACGACTCCACTCCAAGAAGACAAATGATCCAATCGAAAAATGGGCAAAGGACCTGGGCAGACGCTTTTCCAAGGAAGTGATACAGAGGGCCCAGAGACATTTGAAAGGATGCTCAGCATCACTAGTCATCAGAGATATGGAGATTAAAACCACAATGAGGTACCACCTCACACCGGTCAGAATGGCCATCATAAGCAGATCAACAAACAGCAGGTGCTGGCGAGGCTGTGGAGAAAAGGGAACCCTCGTCCACTGTTGGTGGGAATGCAGACTGGTGCAGCCACTGTGGAAAGCAGTGTGGAATTTCCTCAAAAAGCTGAAAATCGAACTGCCTTTTGACCCAGTGATTCCCCTGCTGGGACTATACCCTAAGAATTCCAAAACGCCAATTCAAAAGAACCTATGCACCCCAAAGTTCATAGCAGCACAATTTACGATAGCCAAGTGTTGGTAGCAACCTAAATGCCCATCAGAAGATGATTGGATCAAAAAACTATGGTACATTTACAGAATGGAATACTACGCAGCAGAAAGAAAAAAAGAACTTCTAAACTTCACGACATCATGGACGGAACTAGAGATCATTATGGTAAGCGAAATAAGCCAGGGGGCGAAAGACAAATACCATATGATCTCAGCTATAAATGGAACCTAACCAACAATACAAAGATGCAAGGAAAATAAGACCAGCAACACTGAAAAGAAAAGAAACGAACAAAGCGGGATGGAGGGATGGGGATGGGGGAAAAGGAAGGGAATGCGAGGGTCGCGGAACGTGTAGCGAGGTCTCATGGACAAAACCAAAGGGGAAGGATTCAGGGGGGGGGAGGTGGGGCAGGGGAAGGTGGTGGGGGAAAGGCAGAGACAAATGTATTTGAAAAGGTAAAGAAAATAAAATAAATTTAAAAAAGACATTACTAATCAAAAATAGGAAAGTTGATATTCCAATTCTTGAAGGAATTGGAAAACACGTGAGAGAAGCCACTACATTACCTTAACACAGCCATGCCATGATAAAAAAAAAAAAAAAAGGGTAGAACGTATACAAGTAGAGTTCATTTAGTAGTTGTAATGAACTACATATAATTTTACGTAAGAAAACCTAAAAATAAGAAAGGTCCAACAAACATAACTTTTACTTAAGTATGAACTTGAAAAAAATTATGTCAAAATTATAATTGTGGTAGTGAAAGAGGAGGGAGTTTAACTTTTTCCTTTCTATATTATCTGCATTTTCTAGGTTTTTATTTTTTACAATACAATAATTTTATAATTTAAAAAATACATAAAATAAATAATTCAACATTTAGTTCTATCATTGTGATTTCACTATAGTATGCAGCTTCTCTTGAATTTTGCTGTACTAAGCAAAGAACCTAGTTTTCCTTAAAACTGGTTAAACTGAGTTTTCCCTTGAAAACCTTACTTACCTCATCATAAAATTCTGGGTTTTGGTGATGGTGTAAAACTGCAGCAAAGGCGCTTCTTGTGAACACTGACCCACCAGGACGGCCATAAATGCACTAAATTAAGAATTAGCAAAGAGAAACACCAGCCTTCAATTAATAAAGAAATTAAACTCAGATGTGATGTAAAGACCACTCCTACAGCATAAACTGAACCATCTCTCATGGATTTCTTTGGCCTGTGAGACTCTAGACCTGCAAACCCCATTACTCCTGGGCTCAACTCACCATCCAGCTCACCTCCCTGCCTTTCCACCACTATCCCTCTCACCACTTCAAGCTTTAACTCCGAACCAGACCCCGCTCACTATTCCCTTTCACACTTCCATGCTTCTGCTCTGCAAGCCCTTGGGCTCAATGATCTTCCTTTCTATGTGCCCCAAGCAAATTCTAATGTACCCTTCAAGAAAGGATTAATTCCTTCCTCTGTGTCCCTTCCGTATTTTTTCTGTTCTAATTATCTAGTTTTGTAAATAAACCATTTCAGTACCTTTTTAGGCCAGGAGCTTTTTGTTTTCTTAACTGTCTTTCCCATGAAACTATTAAATTTTGTGAGGGCAAAAACTATACTGCATTCTTTTTTGCTACTTTGTCTCCTTCCATTCTTGCAAAGTCATTTTCACATAGTTTCTCAGTAAAGAATTTGGGCTCTGGAGACAGACTATCTGGATTTGAACACCAGTTCCTCTAATCTAGCAATTTATTTAAATTCTGTGCATTTATCTCACCTAAAAAAATGCACAAAATAATAGTACCTAATTCAAAAGACTGTTATGAGAATTAAAGGAGTTTAATAATACCTATAAGACTCTAAGAGCAGAGCCTGGAACACCAATAATCTATTACTATTATTATTGCCATACTGTAATAAACATTTGATAGATGTCCATCTATTATTATTATTTCTACTATTAATGTTGGTAATATAACTCTTAGCAACCATACAATGCCTGGCTCATAGCAGGAGCACAATATGTTAACTGAATTGTACATGCATAAGAAACCTTCATCCCTAAAAAGTAAAACAAAACAAAAATAGTTAATTAGGAGTTAGAGCTCAATTATTCAATATTCTGTAAGGTTCAGCATATATGGTTACATATTGTGATATCATATATTTTTGTGTTCATGTCAATTAAAATGTGCTAAATTCCTTTAGTTGTGCAATATCATGCAACTGCATTATTAAAATGGGAAAATGTGAATATATAAAAAAAAACCAAACCTTCAAAGGCTGAGAGTCTTCCTCATCTGAATCTTTGAATTCAATGCAAACAGCAATATTTCTGGCCTACAGCAATATTTAAAGAAAAAAAGGAAAAGAAAACAAATAGCCAGGATATATAATATTTATAAAAGAACACGGGAAGCCAAAACCTAAGAGAGTTTGATATTAAAAATGAAACCTCAATCTTCACACTCACCTTGGCAAAAGATTTTTGACTGTCATATTTCAAGTACTTAGGATAAACATAAAGGTGATTGTTGTAGATGGTATAAGGCTGAGTGTGTTTTGGTATGCAGGGCACAAATTCCTCTACTGCAAATGTGATTGGGGTTTTAGTACAGGTTTCAAATTGCTTTATGGGAATGTATGATGAATTGACATAATCTGAAAAATGAAAAACAAACAAATTAAAGTAAAAACCAAACAAAATTTTGTCTGTTTATTATACAGAACTTAAACTTACTAGGAAAGTCTGAGGAAACATTATCAATGGTAACGTCTAGATTGCCCAAAATCACTGGGAGCTTAGCCATCTTTTCAGGCCTACAAACAAAGAAGAGAAAAATCAAATATTTATAAGTTAGGTTAGCTCTAAAATCTAAATTCTAGAGAGCACTTCCCAGAGAAATATAATGCAACACACAAGAGTAGTTTTAAAGTAACAGGTAAAATTAGTTTTTAAAATACATTTATTTAAACCAATATATCCAAAATATTATTATTTCAATACGTAATCAGTATAAAAAGTTCATTCTAATTATTCAAAACCAGGTGTGTCTTTTACACTGACAGCTTATTTCAGTTTGGACTTGCTATATTTCAAGGGCTAAATAGCCACAGGTGACGAGTGGCTAATAAATTGGACAGCAAAAGTGATTCATATTTTCCTGAACCATTCCAAACTCACCATATATTCTTGGCTCATTTAGAATCATGAAAATTCAGAACTAGAAGTCATCTTAAGAGTCTCTAGTGTCTGTCTAGCAAAATGCTGCCTATGAAGTAGATACTCAATGAAATGTTTGATGTTTGTATTTGGTTTGACTCAATCCAACAAAGGAAATCTCCTCCATAATGTGCCTGATAAGCACTGCTACTGCTTCAACCCTTCCTAGTGTCAGGAAAACTTTCAACATAGCCAGTTTCAACATAGCCTGGTAAAATTCACCTCTCTGAAACTTCCCCTCATCAAAGGGCTTAGTTATTCTGTCTCCCTATGTAACACCTTTCAAGCATCTATCAACAGCTTGCTGAAGTCTTCCATTCTCAGCCCTTTTGCCACCTTCCTCCAATTCCATTTTCCTCCTAGAAGAACATCCCATTTATATTGTGGCACCCAGAACTGCACAGATCAGGCCCAGTATGGCCTGATCAGGTGAAGACAGAATTGCTGTGTGTGTGTTTTAAATTGATTTTTGGGGGAGGAGAGGGATGGAGAGAGGGAGGGAGGTAGATGGAGGTGGGGAGAGAGAGAAAGAGGGAGATGAAGGGGGGGGGAGAGAGAGAGAGAGAGAGAGAGAGAATTTGTTCCACTTATTTATGTGTTCATTGGTTGATGGTTGTATGTGCCCTGACTGGGGACTGAACCTGCAACCTTGTCATATCCAGACAATGCTCTAACGAACTGAGCTACTGGCCAGGGCCACATCTGTCTGGTTTTGAACAATATACCCACCTATTGATGCTATTACTTTTAGATAGCCATACCTAATGATGTATATGAAATTTACAACCACCTAAAATCCTTAAATCTTTTTTCATATGCTTTACTCTCATGCTACATCTCTCATTCTGCACTTATATAATTATGTTTTTGGAAATCATTTGATTTTTATCTTTATGAAATTTCGTCTTTTTATATTTGAGCCTTTTCTTGTTGATCAAAACCCTCTTAAATCCAGATTATAATATCTCATGTATTAGATATTTCTAATAGCTTTATGTCATGAAGACATTTCAACAGCATGTTATATTTTCTTATAAAAGTCATTGATGAAGATATTGCACAGAATACTGTCATGAACAGGTTTCTTCTCAAATCTCTAGATGCGTATAGCCAGAATGATACTAGCCCATTTATCACCCTTCTTGGTATCTGGTTACTCCAGCAGTTGAACAACTGTCTGTAAGTGTACTACATTTCTTTGAGTTGTCCATAGGACATCTTGGAATACACACTTGTCAAAGGCATTCCTCTGTTGTACACACTTAGCAACCCAATTAAAAAGAGAGAAGCAGAAATGTGACTATGATGACTAGTTTGACGTAACATGACATTGTTAGAAAACAGAACAGTCCTATGGTTCTTTATAAGTCACCTATTTGCAAATGCCTTTTAGACACTGCCAAGAAATATCAAGGCTTATTGGCCAACAGATTCAGCATTTGGTTTTGTTCCCATGTTTTAAAAGTTCCTAACTCCAGTTTTCAAGATTTCTCAGACATTATTGTTATCTATTAAGCAGAGCCATATGTATCTTGTCAGCATACAATGGAGTATTGTTAATCTGAATCAGATTTCCCTAACAGTTCTAAATTCTTGCCTAATAATGACTACAGAGTGCACTCAGCATATTCTTCTGTGCCCATCAGCAGCTCCCTCCTGCAGAATACCTTTCTCTAAGGGTTCCTTCTCATTTCCATATCTGAGTTTAAATGAGCAACAATTTGAAATCCTAAGATATAACTGTCAGGAAGGCAAGTCAACAACTTTTCACACATTCTACCTTCAGTTAAAAGATTTATGCCCAAAAGATATCCAGGTATGGTCCAGTGGTACCCTCACATTTTGTGCCCATTCTGTGATTTGTTCACAAACACAATATCCTTTTCTACTACCATAAAATTGTGCCTTCAACAACTATTTGCAGAGAGCTGTCAACAGCCCCTCAAGCACCATATGCTTCTACAATGATACACTGTTGGAGCCTAGCCTCTCTGCTTTCACAAAGCTCTTGCAGGGCATCAACCATGAGACTCATGGGTTTCTATACAGGTATAAATTTTCTTGACATAATGCCCTGCCCTACCTCTTCATTTTAACAATTTAACCCTGAAATGTACTACAAAACACTGCATTCCATAGAATCTTAGAGACACCTTTGTAACTGTATCTGTTTCCTTGAGTCAGAAATACTCTGCTTATTACAAATAGTTTTACATGTAACTACTCAGGAGTATTATATCTCATCCCTTCCTAGTCATGTAACTACTCAGGAGTATTATATCTCATCCCTTCCTAGTTATTTTCACCTATGAATAAATATGTTCTTTCTTCACCATTTTTTTAATCACTCTGAAATCATCCACATATAAACTTTTGAGAGTTGGATTTCTTAGCAACAAATTTTAAACAGTCTTCACTAGAACTCTTTTTACAATGTATTATATACTTTTGTGTCTAACTATACTTGTTTCTTATTTAGGTTCCTTCCTCTCTTGAGAGCTTTTATTTCTAGTTGCTATTTCCATAGAGGCATTATAATGTCCAAGTACAATACTTCCAAGCAAGCACAGATCTGATTTTAATTCCACACCACATAACACCTAGGTTTTGTGGAAGCTATTTCCACCAATGTAAAATGTTTTTAAAAGCATAATCTTAAACCTATTTCAAAAGTTCAGGGTTTTTATTGAGCCTGGCTTTTTAGACAGCAAAATTTCACACAACAAAAATTCCACTCCTTTTTATAATATGTATTTGCAAAGTGATGATGATGACGACGACGATGACGATGATGACGACAATAACGTGCTATGAAAATGAATTCTCTCATGACTGGGATTATTTTTTTAATGCTACAAAATGAATACATTCTATGCAAAACTTAAAATGGTTGAGGAGGAAAGCCCATCTTAAAAATGCATTCATTAAATAAATGTATAATGTAGAAACACATAGGATGTTTGGAATTTGGGCACTGCTTCTGTCTGTGTGTAAACCTAGGAATGAGGCTCAAACTCTCTCCATCTCAGGCAAGGGCAAGGTTTTCTCTTCCTACTGTCCATACTTTCCTGTGACTCAACAATTCCCACAGAGGGTAGGGGAATGGTATCGCAAACTTGCAGTCGTTTCATGCCAACAGATTTGGTGTCTCTACATCTGTGTTTTTGCACCTAGTCCTCCGGATTCTACCTCCTGTCTTGACATATTAATGTGATTAACTAGCAGAGTAGATATGCTTGGGTTTGTTTTTGCTGGTGAGTCTAATCTAAATGCATTTTGTAAAAGGAGATATTCCCTATGGGCATTGGTGTCACTTAAAAAATTTATATGCAATTGAAATAAATTTGAAATATTTTTGTTTAAACAAAATCACTGGATTTATGTGTTTGAAAAATTTCAATCTGCATTTATTACGTGCTTACGATTTGATACAACATGCATTACATTAGGATAGAAGACAAGCAAGATAGGATTCCTGGCCTCAAGAAGCCAAAAATTCAGGAGACACATGATAACTACTCCACAGAGTTTGTATAAACCGCTACCAGAAGACAGAGGTCTGTGGCACTGAGAAGGAACAAAGGATGACACCATTTTTCACAGTATGAGAAATCACCCTCACATGTATATTCATTCATTCCCACCGCAATTCTAGGAGGCAGGGCCATTACAATCTCCCTTTAAAAGACGAGGAGACTCAAGTAGAGAAGCCGAGTGACCTGGCCTAAGTCTCCCAACGTGGAAGTGAGCTACACTTGGGCTTTGAAAGATGAGTCAGGTTGCCTTGGAGAGACAAAAGCAGAAGGGGAACATGTATGCTCTATGTGTTTGTCACCTGTGTACTGCTGCTTGATGGGGCAGAAAGGGACACAACTCAGGCAGAGGGCAAGGCATTATGGAGTGAAAGCACATAATGGGTTTAAAGAAAGACAAGTAGCCCCACCTGGCTCGAGGGCAGTGTAACTAGAGAGAAATGCCAAACCTGGAGACAAAGAACATAAAGGTATAAACACATAAACGTCGGTCTCATGCAAGAGCCCTAACAGTGTTACTACCTAAGTTACCCAATGTGGTAGCATTAAAAATGTCTACATTTAAAGAAAATACTCTATTTTTATACTTTGCCTTCATGTTTCAGATGTTTTACAGAAGTGAGAAAAGATATTGCCATGAACAAATCAATGTGTAAAACATATACCAAATCTCCTTTCTTAGATAAATACTTATGGGAGCATATATGCCAACAATACCATCTGACAAAATTGTTTTCTCACTAAATCTTGGATGGTATCCCCTGGTAATGATTACAAGGGAAAGTGTGTGTGGGGGTGGGGGAAGTGGCTTATGAGCTTTGGCAGCTGTTTTCTAAAGCTGGGGCTGCTGGAGAAAACTTTTCCATTATTAAATGACATTTTGAGACAATCATGGGAACAAAAACAATACCTCTGGATGCAAGCTGGTGCTTAAGCCACTGACATGAGATTCTTCGTTGTGAAAAAACAAAGAAGAAAGAAAAAGTGCAATGCTAAGGTTTAAAAAAAAAAATGAGGAATCCTTCACTTCCTTAACTGTATGGTGAAGAAAACAGGCAGTTCTCTGGATTCTTGTTGAGCAGGACAGATGCTGCCCTAGTGCCATCATACCTTCTGATGCCAATAACATTGGATCCTTATAATCAAGTATCTGAGTCTCTCACTGGCCACATGGAGCACATGCTACCCTAGCACAGGCATGAAGGCCTGGTGTGTGTGTTGGGGGTGCGGGGAACTGTTCCATGCTCTGAACAAGTGAAAGTCTGTGTTGTTTGCTCCCTGGCTTCAGATTCTCAGCTCAGATCACTTGCTGATTAAAGACCCTGTAAAGTCCCACCCTTTGGCCTCCACTGAGGAAGTCAGATACAAGAGCTGGGGCTACTCTCTGCAGTGGCAGGGGAAGCTTCAAGTTCTCAGCTAGGAAGTAACCTCTGGGACACGGCTTCCAACATCACATATTAAAAAAATCTTCCTTGTTTGTTTTGTCAGAATATAAAAGTAAATGTTAGTTATAAAGAATATTCACATAAAATCATGAAAAGTGCCCTGACTGGTGGGTTCGGTAGGGCGTTGTTCTGCAAGTGAAAGGTCGCTGGTTTGATTCCTGCTCAGGGCACGTGTCTGGGTTGCAGGTTCACTCCTTGTTTGGAACATATGTGAGGGGCAACTGATCAATATTTCTGTCTCACATTGATATTTTTCTCCTTCTCTTTCTCCCTCCCTTCCCTCCTCTCTAAAAATAAATAAGTGAACTATTTTTAAAAGATTGTGAAAACCTATAAAGTGGAAACTGAAAAGTCACTCATAAACCCATCCCTCACCATGACTAATATTTTGGTGTCCAGCCTACATGACTATTTTTATGCTAGTCTATCTTTCCATCTAACTAGCTATCCATTTCTTCATTTATATATAAAAATATATAAAATGTTTTCTTCTAAAAAATGAGGTCATATAGATATACTTTCTCCTCCTTAACAATATAGTGTGTTCACCTTCCTAAGTGAATACATTCAGACTTACATCATGATCATTATGATTATTGAGAACTGCATGGTAGTCCAGTAAGGGAAAATTGTAATCTATTCAACTAAAGGTGACTGGAGTTTTCAAATAAACAACTATTATTCTACAAGCAAGGCTAAAAGTTTCCTGGAATTCAAATAAAAACATGACAATAATTACTGTGTAACACATTATCTATGACAATATATTTCTTGCTATAACTAAGTAAAGGTTTTTAAGAGATGTCTTTCAATTATGGTTATTTAGAATTCTGAGAAATCAGAGGAGAGAGAAGTACGAAAACAGTACAAATGAAATGAAAGAAAGCTAACCAGCCATTCTTGAGTTCTAGGTAAACTGATAATTACTTTGATATACACATTTAAAAAAAAAACGCAAAAATCTGAAAGGTCCCTATGGTATAGAATAGTTAGTGGCTGGCTCTTGGCCATGCTTTCATTTAATTATCTTTTAATACCCTCACATCTTTCTCATTCTGGGAATTCTCCCAGAAAAATTCTAAAACCTATATACCTAGCAAAGAAAATCAGTTTTTATAAGTTCAGAAGTGAATTCCGTATGATAGAGTTTATAAGAGCAGATTTTCAGCCAGAATAACTTCCACCATTGCTCACCCTCTCTTTACCACATTGTTATGGATTGAGTTGTATTCCCAAAAAGGTATGTTTAAGTCCTAAGCCTAGTACCTATGAATGGATCCTTATTTGGAAATAGAGTCTTTGAATGGGTTAGACAAAAAGTTCATTTTTTTTTTTTTCCCATAAGATGGCTCTAGTAGCACTTAGTTGTCTTCAAGTTCATTTGAAACAATTCTGTTAGATTGTATTGTGACACTTCCTCAGTCAGGCAGACCAGCTGAAGTTGATAGCAATCATATCGAGACATTAGTTGAGAACAATCAACATTATACCACACGGGAGACAGCTGACACACTAAAAATAGCCAAATCAATAAAGTAATTGGTGAAAATGAAAAATGTGTCTTTAATTTTACAGGAAAAACATATGGACTTTTTTGGCCAACCCAACAGATATAATCAAGTGAAGATGAGGTCACTAGGGTTGGCCCTAATCCAACATGATGTGTTCTTACAAGAAGGAAATTTAGACAGATACAGAGCAAAACAGTCATGTGAAGACAGGGGCAGAGTTTAGAGTTACGCTACCACAGGCCAAGGAATGCCTAGGGCTCCCAGGAGCTGGAAGAACCAAGGAAGGATCCTCCCCTAGAGATTCTGTAGGGTATGGGTCCTGCCAACACCTTGATTTTGGGCTCTAACCTCCAGAAATATGAGAGAACAAATTTTCATTGTTTTAGGCCACCCAGTTTGTAGTACTTTGTCATGGAAGCCCTAGGAAACTAATACACTCATCAATATATGTAAAGTATTTAGACTATGCTTATAAACAGTAAGTACTATATAAGTTATCCTCACCATGCCCTCCCCCTCAATCCAGTTAATAGTATCATGAGTTAATTCTTATACTGTGTAAGTCAGAAATCTGGGATTTATTTATCTAAGTTTATCACCCATTTCTCTCTCCTTCCACCCTAATATCCAATCGGGAAACTAAGACCCAGTAACTGGGCCTCTTTGACATAACTGAAATTAGTTTCATTCTTATTTCCAATTGCAGTGGCTTTGCTGAGTCCCTTCCCACCTCTTGCAAAAGTTCTTCAACTGTCTCCTTCTTGCACAGGATCATCTCTACCCACAACCCACCCTTCACTGAACTAGCAAAAACATCCATTACAGAATTCAAATTATCAGGTTACTCTTTCAATTTTAAACACTCTCTTCCTTCCCAAGGACTAGAGGTAAAGTCCCACATCCATCTAATATCCCCTATGACATTTGAATGAGCAATTTAAAAGATTGCTCTCACTTCCTCCCTCCCCACCAAACAACTTCTATTTTTCAGATGTGGAAATAAATAAGGCCTTGAGGCTTACTTCCGAAAGTCTGCAAGTAACTTGAGCATGTCGTCATTGGAGAGCTTATTGCTATCTTGCTTGTAGAGAGCAGAGAATCTGGCATTTTTGTCAAGGTTTCCAGATGTATCCTTAAACAACATCCTGAAATAGCAAAACAACACTTCTAAACTGAGTTTCCAAAAGACCAAAATAAATCCACAACTTAATTCTGGTTTCTATGTGAAGACTAAGTATTACTCCATTGACGGTAGTCAACAAAAATCTCATTATCTAAAAATGTGGAAGATATTTACGAGGATGAACACAACTAAATCAATTTACATAGAAAACATTTCCAGCAAATGGCCTGTGTTTCGGAAACAACACACACACTCAAGTGCTTAAGAAGCGGAGATCACAAAATAAAGAGGATCTGCAGATCTCACTGGGCTGTCACCCTACTTCCAGCTGGAGACGTGGCTGGAACCTGGAATATTAGCTCTACAACAAACATTCCTGTTCACCCTGCCAGTTCTACATGGCTACCCTCCAATCAGCATATTTCCTTTCTGTGATTCTAATAAATGATCATTCAGATATGTGGCTTATTTATTTTCCAGCTTTACACACTTAAATCCTCTTTGTCTCTGGGCAATAAAACAGAATAGGTTGGTCAGTTTATAAGTCACTCTGCCTTCCTCCTCCACCCCGCCCCCCACATATATATCTACATCCATATCAAAGGTATAAAGAATGTTCCCCTTACCTTGCTGCCCAAGCAAATGGCATCCTGTACTGTCCTAGTCTTTGGCATGCCTGCTTGGCATTCTTCAGCACTTTCTGAGCAACCTTGAAGACATTAGAATAAAGCCATGAGATGCTGCATCCCACTGACAGAATTATCATCATACTGTAGTATCAGATACAAAGGCACACTGTGCTATAATAAATATGGTTGGATTTACACTCAGCTCAGAGTATTCTGTTTAACAAATTTTCTAGCAATGATTTTCAACAAAATAGAATGAGGAATGTCTTTTCTTACCTAAAATGTTGCTTTTATAGGTAACAACCATGCTATATCATAGGCTTTCATAGTTTTTTATGACTAAGGGCTACTTATTTTAAGTCCATTGAGTTATCAATAATTACTAGTACTTGGTATTCATATCAAGCATTACTATAGTTTAGATGAGAACACTAATGAAAATAATAAGCTCTAATATACCTCTAATATGCACTGGCTTGTGCAGAATACCACAGTTTGGAGGTAAATATTGGTGTTGACTTGTTAGGACAAGGCTTTCAATTTCTATATTTTTGCTTTCTAACTATAAATTCTGCTATTTTCACTTCCTAATGACCATTTTTTACTTTTTGTGGGTTGACTGATTAACCCTATAGTACACAGTGAAGTAGATTTGCTTTTGGGTTAAGATGTACACATGGCAGGTCTATTAATCAACTATCCCCTTATTGCTAAAGCAGATAACACTTATTTTCCCAAGTTTTCTTGTACTGGGATATTGCATTGTTACCAATGCAAAGTTTGATTCAGTCAGAGTGACGTGTTGAAAGGTTTTTTACATTATTTTACTATATCAAAGACAAACCAATTTTGGGAAGTGATCTAGTTCCTGTGAACCAGTGTGTGCTCTGCAGAGTTGCAGCATCAACAACACCTGGGAACCTGTAAGGAATGCAGAGTCTCAGGCCCCAACCAGGAGCTCCTAGGTCAGAACCTGCATCTGACCAGATCTCTGGTAACCTGTGTGCATTGGATTTGAGAAACACCCATCTAGAAGACTCAGAAGTAAAATAATAGAGTCGCCTTTCTCTAAGTCAAATTGAAATCAGCTATATGAACCGATAGGCCATTATAACTCTCTAGGTTTCACTTTCTGTACCTTAAAAATGAAGGACTTGGTTTATACTTTTCATTACAAAATATTATGATTCAACCTAATCATGTTGTGGAAATTGCTGTCTTCATGAGTGAACTGGAAAACACATCCTGATTGAAATATATGTCAGGAGCTCAGGTAGTCCCTCCCTTTCTTCTAAGTGGAATCCGTTCATGTGGGGACGCGGGGATACACTGTCACAGGATAAAATGGCCTACTTTACTCGAGTGGCAACTGTGGTAGAATCTATTATTTTTAGGTTTAACAATAATGACTATATCATGGAGTAAAATGCAACATTTGCATAAAATTTAAAGCTAAAACACAAGGCTTCAAATAAGTTTTACTCTTCACTGCAGTGAATGAGGACTGAGTAGTCAGACTTGCCAAGGGTGCAAATGGAACATAATGTATGAGAGAGTCGGGGTAAAAAGCTCATATTTGCCCTTTGGGTTTCTTTACTGTTTTTCTTTAAAAAACAAAAAACAAAAAACAAAAAACAAAACCGAAATAAAAATAAAACCTGTTCATGGTAGGCACCTACAGAGACATTTCATAAAAATTTTGTCTAAAACAGGCCAAAAGTGAGAAAGCACACAATAGACGGCCGTAAACTGCCCAGTGCCAGGGCGTGCTCGCAAGCGGACCGGTGTGCCAGTGAAGAGCGGTCCACAGAAATAGTGGATCCTTGGCTGAAGGGGTCACAGAACTGCACAGAGACCCATGAGCAGAGACTGGAGACAGATGCGTTGGGGAAAGAACTGGAGGAGTAACCAGGGAGTCCCAGCGCTGACTCCTCCACTCGACGTTCTCCATCTTGCTCACGGGGTCTACTCCCCTGAGTGACAGCAGCCTATAATGACACGATAGTCCCACCATCAGGAGGCACTGCTCAGCCCTGTGGGGCATAAGCCAGACATATGAGGAGAGAGTGATCAGATTGACAATTACAGGAGACAAGCACAAACAGTGAGTTCCTGGAAGGCTCAAACAAATGGCCCAAGATCAGATACAGTCAACAAGTGACACCATCAGAGGCAGACCCAGAAAAATATATAAATAAATAAAAAGACTCCTACTGCCATAGAAGTTTAATCCACAAAGTCAGGAAATCTAGACAGATCAATTGAAGTAGAAGCATAAATAAATAAATAAATAAATAAATAAATAAATAAATAAATTACTTAATAGACTCTCACAAAAATGGGAAGAAAAAGAACTTCCCCTCAAATGAATGGAAAAGGGGAATCCCCACAGGGAGAGCCAAATGAAATAGAGGCGAGGGAACTATCAGATATTGAATTCAAGACAATGGCTCTAAGGAAGCTCAATGAGCTCAGCCAGCTCACAAATAACTATGAGACACTGCAGGGAAACTATCAGGAACTTACGGCAAACTATAGCAACTGGGAAAAGGACATGGAAACTATCAAGAAGACACAAGAGGATATGAAGAATGCCATTTCTGAACTGAAGAACACAGTAGAAGGAATCCAAAGCAGGCTGGATGAAGCCAAGGATCGAATCAGTGAGATGGAGGACAAGGTAGAAAAAAGCTCCCAGAAAGAACAAGAAATGGAAAAACGGCTCAAAAAGAATGAAGAGGCATTTAGGGAAATGCAGGACAACCTGCAACACATTATTATCCGCATACTAGGGATACCAGAAGGAAAAGAAGAGGAGCAAGGGATAGAGAACCTCCTCGAAAAAGTAATGATGGAAAATTTCCCTCATTGGAGGAGAGAAAGGGTCTCATGGATCCAGGACGCACAGAGGGCCCCCCTCAAGAGGGACCCAAGGGGGTCCACTCCAAGACACATCATCATTAAAATGGCAACTCTCAAAGACAAAGAGAGAATCCTCAAGGCAGCAAGGGAGAAGGAGAAAGTAACATACAAGGGGGCCCCGATACGCCTAGGAGCTGACTGCTCAACAGAAACACTACAAGCCAGAAGGGAATGGCAACAAATGTTCCAAGTCATGAAAAGCAAGGGCCTACAGCCAAGGCTGCTCTACCCAGCTAGGCTGTCAATTAAAATAGAAGGGGAAATAAGGAATTTCCCAGACAAAAAAAGGCTAAAAGAACACATCTCTACCAAAACAGCACTCCAAGATATGCTCAAGGGACTGGTTTAAGAAGATGAAGGAAAAGAGTGAGAAAGAGAAAAACACAGGTACAAAGGGAAAAAATGAACAATTTTCTATCAATAATATCTCTCAATGTGAATGGACTAAATGCCCCAATCAAAAGACACAGGGTAGCTGAATGGATAAGAAAACATGACCCACACATATGCTGCCTACAAGAGACCCACCTCAGAACAAAAGACCTACACAGATTGAAAGTAAAGGGATAAAAAAAAATATTCCAAGCAAATGGGCAAGAGAAGAAAGCAGGAGTTGCAATACTTAAAACAGACGAAATAGATTTCAAAACAAGGGCCATAAAAAAGAGACCCAGAGGGGCACTTTATACTACGTAAAGGAAGACTCTATCAAGAGGACATAAACATTGTAAACTTATATGAACCCAACATAGGAGAACCCAAATATATAAGGAAAATCTTGGACGACTTCAAAAAAGATATAGACAGCAACACACTGATAGTAGGGGACTTCAACACCCCACTGTCAAAAATGGACAGATCTTCCAAACAAAACATCAACAAGGATATTGTGGAGCTGAACGACGCACTGAATCAAATAGACTTCACTGACATATATAGAACCTTACATTCCAAAGAAGCGAAATACACATTCTTTTCAAATGTGCATGGAAGTTTTTCAAAGATAGATCACAGGATAGGAAACAAAGCAAACCTCAGGAAATTCAGGAAAACTGAAATAGTAACAAACTTTTTCTCGGACCACAAGGGCTTGAAACTGGAAATCAACCTCAGAGAGAAACTTCAAAAACTTGCAAACTCATGGAGACTGAACAGTAGACTATTAAACAATGAATGGGTCAATAAGGAGATAAGAGAAGAAATCAAAAAGTTTCTGGAAACAAATGAAAATGAACAGACAACAGTCCAAAACCTATGGGACACAGCAAAGGCAGTCCTGAGAGGAAGTTCATAGCAATACAGGCCTACCTAAAAAGGAAAGAAACATTTCAAATAAAAGACCTAACACTACAACTTCAAGAACTGGAGAAACAACAAATAAATCCCAGAGCATGTAGAAGGAAGGAAATAATCAAGATCAGAGCAGAACGGAATGACATAGAGACGAAAAGAACAATTCAAAGGATCAACCAAGCCAGGAGCTGGCTCTATGAAAAGATAAGTAAAATCGACAAGCCTTTAAGCAGACTCCTCACGAAAAAAAGGGAGAGGACCCAAACAAATAATATCAGAAATGAGAGGAGAAATAACAACTGATACCACAGAAATACAAAGGATTGTAAGAAACTACTATAAACAATTATATGCCAAGAAATTGGAAAACCTCGATGAAATGGACAAATTTCTAGAAAAGTATAATCTTCCAACACCGAAGGAGGAAGAAACAGAAAGCTTGAACAGACCGATAACAGCTGGGGAAACTGAAGCAGTCATCAAGAAACTCCCGGCACACAGAAGCCCTGGGCCGGATGGTTTCACAGGAGAATTTTACAAAATATTTAAGGAAGAGGTAACCCCTGTCCTTCTCAGACTATTCCAAAAAATCCAAGGGCAGGGAAGACTCCCAGACTCTTTTTATGAGGCCAGCATCGCCCTAATCCCAAAACCAGATAAAGACCCTACAAAGAAGGGAAACTACAGGCCAATTCCGCTGATGAACATAGATGCTAAAATCCTCAGCAAAATATTGACAAACCACATCCAGCAACACATTAAAAAGACTATCCACCATGATCAAGTGGGATTCATCCCAGGGATGCAGGGATGGTTCAACATACACAAGTCAATAAATGTAATACATCATAAACAAAGGAGAGACAAAAGCCACATGATCATCTTGATAGATGCAGAAAAAGCACTCGATAAGACACAGCACTCAGCAAAATGGGAATAAATGTGGCATTCCTCAACGGAATAAAGGCCATATATGAAAAATCTACAGCCGACATCATACTCAACGGGCAAAACCTGAAAGCTTTCCCACTAAGATCAGGAACACAACAAGGATGTCCACTTTTACCACTTCTATTCAACATTGGAAGTCCTAGCCACAGTGGTCAGACAAGAAAAAAAAATAAAAGGCATCCGCATAGGAAAGGAGGAAGTAAAACTATCCTTTTTTGCAGATGACAGGATGGTGTCCATAGAAAACCCTGTAGACTCCACCAAAAAACTACTGAACCTAATAAGTGAATTTGGAAAAACAGCGGCATACAAAGTCAATATTCAGAAATCAAAGGCATTTTTGTACACCAGCAATGAAATAGAAGAAGAAATCAGAAAAAAAAGTACCATTCGATATAGCAACAAGAAAAATAAAGTACCGGAGAATAAATTTAACCAAGGGGGTAAAAGACCTGTATGCACAAAACTATACAACATTGAAGAAAGAAATGAAGGAAGACACAAAGAAATGGAAGCATAAACCGTGCTCGTGGATTGGAAAACTTAATATCATCAAAATGTCCATACTACCCACAGCAATTTATAGATTCAACGCAATCCCTATTAAGATACCAACGATGTATTTCACAGAAATAGAACAGACATTTCAAAAATTTATATGGAACCACAAACGACTCCGAATAGCTGCAGCCATTTTGAGAAAGAAAAACAAAGTAGGAAGGATCACAATACTGGACATCAAACTATATTCCAAAGCCACCATACTCAAAACAATCTGGTACTGGCACAAGAACAGACCCATAGACCAGTGGAATAGAATAGAAAGCCCAGAAATAAGCCCAGGTCTATATGGGCAACTAATATTTGACAAAGGGGGCAGAAGCATAAAATGGAGCAATAAGAGCCTCTTCAACAAATGCTGCTGGGAGAGCTGGACGGCTACATGCAAAAAATTGAAATTGGATCATCAGCTGACACCATACACAAAAATAAACTCAAGATGGATAAAAGACTTAAATATAAGTCACAACACCATCAAAGTCCTAGAGGAGAACATTGGCAGGAAACTCTCAGATATCCCACGCAGCAATTTTTTCACAGATATGTCTCCTAAAGCAAGGGTCATAAAGGAAAGAATAAACAAGTGGGACCTCATCCAAATAAGAAGCTTCTGCACGGCTAAAGAAAACATCAGCAAAATGAAAAGGGAGCCAAACCTATGGGAAAATATATTTGCTAATGATACATCAGATAGAGGTTTGATCTCCAAGATATATAAAGAACTCACACGACTCCACTCCAAGAAGACAAATGATCCAATCGAAAAATGGGCAAAGGACCTGGGCAGACGCTTTTCCAAGGAAGTGATACAGAGGGCCCAGAGACATTTGAAAGGATGCTCAGCATCACTAGTCATCAGAGATATGGAGATTAAAACCACAATGAGGTACCACCTCACACCGGTCAGAATGGCCATCATAAGCAGATCAACAAACAGCAGGTGCTGGCGAGGCTGTGGAGAAAAGGGAACCCTCGTCCACTGTTGGTGGGAATGCAGACTGGTGCAGCCACTGTGGAAAGCAGTGTGGAATTTCCTCAAAAAGCTGAAAATCGAACTGCCTTTTGACCCAGTGATTCCCCTGCTGGGACTATACCCTAAGAATTCCAAAACGCCAATTCAAAAGAACCTATGCACCCCAAAGTTCATAGCAGCACAATTTACGATAGCCAAGTGTTGGTAGCAACCTAAATGCCCATCAGAAGATGACTGGATCAAAAAACTATGGTACATTTACAGAATGGAATACTACGCAGCAGAAAGAAAAAAAGAACTACTAAGCTTCGCGACGGCATGGGCGGAACTAGAGAGAATTATGCTAAGCGAAGTAAGCCAGGGGGCGAAAGACAAATACCATATGATCTCACCTATAAGCAGAACCTCACCAACAAAATAAAGATGCAAGGAGAATAAGACCAGCAACACTGAAAGAAAAAAGAAACCAACAGGGACAGAGGGAAAGAGGGAGGGGTCGGTGGGTCAATAGGATGGAAGGGGCAAGAGAAGGAACATGTAACAAGGACTCATGGACAAGGCCAAAGTGGGGAAGGATTGAGGGAGGGAGAGGGAGGAGGGGGCAGGGGAAAGTGGTAGGGGGAGGGCAGAGAGAAATGTATTAGAAAAAATTAATTAATAAAAAAAATTTTGTCCAAAACAAAAATTTACTAGAAAAATAATTATCCATCTGTAATATCTCTGTCAAAAATTCTGATGTAAGTAGTTGAATCTTAATCTCTGCTTTAATTTACTGTTTTGGAGGTGTGAATTAATGGAACAATATGCACATGGGTGAGCTTTCCATCCTGTAAGTGATGAAGAAAGTGAGACGTCATCAGATGCTCATGGACACTGGGAGTGTGGAGTGTTAATGTCTAGCCCACAATGATACATGATTTTTGCACCAACATGAGCTGCCACATTTCAAAGTGGCAGGTAGACAGAAGTAGCAAAGTTGGTGTGTATGCACCTTGGAAATGTGTTGCATACACAACCTGGGAGTTGATCTTATCTTGGGCCTTCATTGATTATTAATAAAAACATCAAATAGCTAAAAGAGTTCTCATCCATGGTTTTACAGACCTAATTTAAAAAATAAAACAGCTTCTCTCCAGAGACCAAACTTTACTCAGCTTTTATCAGCCATAAAAGCATACTGTTTGAGGCAATGTACCTGGATAAATGGGCTTTTACTTGACTGGGACTGTAATAAATGATAACAATGTCCTACATGGGTCAGCGATTTGGGGAGTCCATATCAACATTGTATTGTCCATTATTTGTTTGATCCTAATACTGTCTGTGAGAGGAAGGTAGGGGCAGATAGCAACACTATACTTCAACTACAGATGAAACATCTGGGCCCACAGAGTTGACACAATTTGCCTAAAGCACCCAGGCTAGTTAGGTGCTAAGCACTTATATGTCTGACTCCTAGAGCCTGTTCTTTAAGGACCACCTTCTGTGTCTTTGTGGACACACTTTTGATGTATGGGTGGTCACAGAAAGGAAGAGAAGAAACTGAGTCAGCTCAACAAACCTCCTGTTTGAACCTCTGGGATGACCCCACTTAAGGTTGACCTTGGAGAATGTACTGGGGCAATCTTCAAATGACCACTTATAAAATTGTTTTTTAAAAAAATACTGCAAAACTGGCAGGGACTGCAGTGAACAGCTTACTCTAATCAGAGAGCTCAATGTGCTAGCAAGTGACAGTCAAGTATCCTTTGGCCACTCTATCTGTGGGACACTAAGCAGGTAACTAGACCTTTGTAAACCTCAGTTTTCTGAATGTGAAAAAAGGTCTTGGACTAAATGACTTCTAATATTCAATAATTCTATGGTGTGTCCACACCTAGACATTCCCCCAGTAATGAAAAGTACATTGTACATAAATCAAACATGCATCTTGTATGTCTTCCTTCCCTCTTCTACCTAAGGTCACACTACCTCTGCTACCACAACTCTGCTCCATCTGACAAAACACAAGTAGATCTGAACCACCAATCCTACTGGCCATACCATCTGAACCAGATCATCTCCTTGTCTTAGTCTCATATTTAAGTGTAAATGGACCCGAATATATTTCCAGAACCCAAGAGAGACATCAGTAAGTGAAATGAACTCTACTTGAATATATGTACTTTGTAATGACAGAAACTTTACTGTTAAGCTGATAATTTCTCTGCAAATTATTTCATGATACCAGGATAGTCCAGCTAAATGAAGCATTATATTTACACAAAGGATTTCTTTTCATTCAAAATTGGACACATAAGGTTAAATATAAGAGTAAGTCTATGCACAGTGGTCTACATCTTTTGAAATATAAATATGGTATAACTTTGATTTCTTTAAGCATTTCTACTTCAACATGGATCCCTTTTTCCCAATTACTATTTATCATCACAAAGCATAAAAGTCATCCTACCTTAGAAGAGTCTGAACTTTTCATGTATGGCTCAGCGCCATGTGTGATGCTCCCCTGAAGGACTTTTTCAATTCTAGCCACAAGAAATATATCTGGATGAGGACATGTAACTGAAAATATTCCCTAGGGAACAAATGAGTTTCTTCAGTAATTAGAACACAGAGCCATGTTAAACAAATCCCATGAGTATTAAAGGTTCTAAAGCAGCAGAGTGGTGAAACTGTTTAGCTATTAATAAGCATCCAGTGCTGCCCTGATGAGTGTGGCTCAGTTGGCCGGGCATCATCCAGCAAAGTGAAAGGTTGCCTGTTTGATTCCCAGTCAGGGCACGTGTCTAGGTTGCAGGTTTGGTCCAGACTGAGATGTGTATGAGAGGCAATAGACTGATGTTTCTCTCCTTCTCTTTCTCCCTCCAAAAATAAATAAATAAATAAAATATTTTAAAAAATAAATATAAAGCACCCAGTGCCAAACTGGTTAACTGCTCAGTAGTTCATCATCTACTCAGATAAGCTATTTGGTAGGGAAGGCAACTAGCACAAAGTTTAAAGAAAAAAAAAATGAGAAATCCAAAACCACTTCTCTCCACCACTTCTTCGTCTAATTAGATAAGCTGTCAGTATAATCAATATCTCACCCCAATTATGTATTACAAAGTTTCTATATATAAATAGCAAGATAAGTCCCAGTAGTAAGACCACTGGACTCAGGCCCCCCACCTGCTTGGGATACTGCATGGCGGCTTCATGAAGGATGTCCTGAAGGGCAGGGGAGCTCTGCCCACTGCCATTCAGCAAAGCTGGGGACGTGGTGGCCAGCATCTGCCTCACTGAGAAATGGTTCAGGTCCACGTGGAAATCAGCAGAAATCTTTCGGTTGTACTTTATGTCAAACAGGGATAGAGTAACAAAGAAAGGTTCTACCTAAATAAAACAAAACAATCCAGACCATCACTATGGCTCAGACTCTTGGAGAAAAGAAGAATGCTAGTATCAAAGAAGAAATTACTGGACTTATTTATGATTGTTGCCATAAATCACTGCTAAAGAGAAACAGCCTTGATCCCTATTCTTTGTCACAAACATCCTGTCCCTACAGGCTAAACAATCCCCCCCACACCCTGATCTAAATGTTGTACCCTCATTGAAACCAGGATTAGAATTTCAAGTCCAGGTTGCATTGCAATAGGCATATCTAAAACCTCTATTTTTTAAAAAATCTTTGAAAAAATTACATTTGTAGTAGGTCCTTCTTCATTTTCAGCAACGCAGCATTGCAAATTGAAAGATAAATCATTGCATTTGACAAGAATTCTTTTTCCAAACTTCTCTTCAAATGGCTTCACTTCTGGCTCAGCTGATGAGAAGTCAAGCCTCTTTCAAAAAAAATGTAAACATATGAATACGTTATGCTCAAATGTTTAATAAATCTCATAATCAATATATAATATCCTAAAGAAAATACCACATGGAAAAGCCATATAACACTCATTACTCTCAATAGTGTTAATATTTTATACATTTATATAGTTTATAAAAATGGTAAAAAATGATGGTATATCTACTTAATGGATTATCATACAGAACTTAAAAATTACGCTTCTGAGCAACTCAGTGTCCACAAACAGATGAATAAACTAAGTATGATATATACATAAAATAGAATATTATTCAGCAAAAAAAAATTCTGACACATGCTACAACATGGATGGACTTTAAAAGCATTATGGTATGTGGAATAATCCTTACCCAGAAGGACGAATATTGTATGATTTCACATATATATGAGGTTCCTAAAAATGGGCAAACTCACAAAGAGAGAAAGTAGAATAGAGGTTTCTAGGGTTGAGGGAAAAGAGGAATGGGGAAGTTATTGTTTAGTGGATAAAGAGTTTCTGTTTGGAACGATGAAAAGTTCTATGAATGAATAGTGGTGATAGTTGCGCAGCATTGTAAATGTTCTTAACCACTAAATTGCACACTTAAAAAGGGTTAAAATGGTAAATTTCATGTTATGCATACTTTATCACAAGTAAAAATTGTCAAAAAGACATATATGTTTTTGAATTCTGTGAGGAAATGTAAAAAATCATTTATTGTATCATTAAAATTAAGTGGGGAGAAGAAATTCTATTAAAATAAAACACAAATAAAGAGGGAAAAATACAGAAGGGAATACTGCAGACCTGTTGCCCGCTTTGAGTCATCCTGTTTGTGGGCAGGCTTGGAGGTCCTTCCCATGCTATGTCTGGAATTTTGTTGGGACATAAGTGTGTATCACATGCACTGCAAGGCTTGTATGTGAGACTGAGCTTGAGCTAGCCAGAAAATAAGCACTGTCTGCTGGGCATCTGCAGTGATGCTTGTTATCTTCTGACTATTACTTTATGGGTGAATTATATGTTCTTTGTGCACTTGACAATGTCTTTGGATAAATCTCTCTCAATTTTCAACAATCTATTAAATATTAAATATTCATAATGATTGTGCTATGGTGATAAGATTATAGGTTGTTTTTATTTTTCCTGTTCCCCTTGAATTTTCCATCTTGTTCCTATATTGCTTGTAAATCCAAAATAAACAAATAAATAAATAAACAAATAATCTGTCAAAGGTTTTCTCTCCCAAACTAAGTTTTAAATTTTAAACATTAAAATAGTTCTTACCTGGGCATCTGGGTCCAAGTAAAAAAGTTTAACTCTGCTTTCACTTTTCAGTTTGATTTCTGCTTCTCGGGTACTCTGATAACAAGATAAACAAAAAATATGAATTACATTTATAAATGACCCCTTTTCTTAAAGGGGTGTCCAAGTATGCTTGAAAGCTGCCCCATCCTGAAAAGTCAGTTTGCCAGATGACTCTGCCTCAGCCTGGAGAGTCAGCTGCATGTCAACAAATAAGGACAGACTGTCAAGTATGGCACACAGTGACATTGCTTGGGGAGGAAAAGGAGGTCAATAATACCTGATCCCTGGCTTATGACATTGGTAATCAATTGGAGAGTCAAAAAACAATATGAAGAAAGCAAAAGAGAATAATTAAGTGTTACTATCAAGAAAGGCTTCACAACTTAATGAAATAGAGACCAGGCTTTGAAAGAAAGGGTGGAATTTAGACAGTAAAAAGTAGGAAAACAAACATCTTAGGCTGAACGAAGAGGATGCATGCATGGAAAGATACAGTATGAAAATGAACCCAGTTGGTAGAAAAATTTAAGGTCCACTTAAGCCTGAGGGTACAAGCCACACAAGAGAAAAGAATATGTTTTGAATGGCAGGATAGAGAAAACCATGGCAGATATTGAAGGGCCACCATAGGGGTCTGTGGCAGCGGAGGGGCATTGCTGATTCATTAAATAAATATGTATTGAGCACCTATTATGTGCCAGGCACTAGGGACACAAACATGAGTGAGACAAAGTTCCTGCCCCCAAGGAACATTAGTTGGGAAGACAATATAAACAGTCAATAAGAATGGCAAAAGAAAGGATAAGGAACAGTGAGCGCTAACCTGGACCAGGAGGGGCAGTCAGGAAAAAGCTCCTAGAGGAAGGCCTATCCTGAAGTACCAGAACATTTGGCCATGAAAGGAGAGAAGGACATTCTAGGAGGAGGTACTGCAGGGACAAAGGTGAAGTTGTACCAGAGCAAATACCAAATCATTTGCTATGATTGAATGTTTGGGTATAACGGACAAAGTAAAGAAAAATGAGTCTGGGATGTATGTTAAGGACTGGAACTTCATTCAAAATCTAAACAAATCCTGCAGTATTTTAAGCAAGGGAATAAAATAACAAATTCTGCATTTTAAAAGCATCACTCAGATAGGGCTGAAGAAATGGATTGGAAGAAGGAAGCCTAGGAGGCCCATGGTCTCTCCTGGGTTATCAAAACTGCCTCTCCATTTCATAGCAAGGCCCATAATAAATTCCACATTCCTAGCTTGAGTAGCTTGCTGACTGTTCAATCCATTAACTGAGCTAGATAATTCAGGAAGAATGAGTCTATGGAGAAGGTGATATACTAGAGTTTGGAGATGCCTGTGGGATTTCCTACTGGAAACATCCAATAGACAGCTAGAGAGACAGAACTTGAGCACAAGGGAGGGATGAAGTCTGGAATCACAGACTTGGAGAAGAGAAGCCATTGAGGGAAAGAGACATACGGTGGCGGAGATGGGGACTGCAGAAGTGGGATTTAGGAACAGAAAGAAGAAGCTTCTAAGATATTTACAAGACAGAAGTCATCTCCAACTACATTACTTCTCGCCTCTGGTGCCTGTAATCTATATCTTGTTCTTGTTAATCTCAATGGTTAAATTTATAGAGTCAGAATAGAATGTCCTTTCTCATGCGTTCCTTTCTGCAAAGACTACAAGTCACATCTGTCATATCTCAGCATGTGATCGGTCAGTGACAGCCACAGTGGAGAGGGTATCTCTGCTGGTGGCTGACTAAGATCTATTAGTACATTTCTAATCATGGCTAATGAGAAATTGAGCATTGTCTTAATTTTCTCAGGCATGCAGCTATTTTTAACAGGTTCTCAGCAATGGCCCAAATTCTGTCATGACTGTATTTAACCAACTGTCTATAGGTCTAGCAAAATGAAATGACCACCAGAATACTAAGAAATTGCATTCTAGTTGTAGTTCAGTCATTAATTGGTGGTGTGAAGTTGAGCCAGCCACTCTACCTCTCCAGACTCCACGTTCATTTCTGAGTAAAAATAGTGAACAAGATGATGGCTCAAGTCTCTTGCCACAACAAAGTTTATCTTGATGCTATGAGAACTTTCAGGCTTCTAGAGGTTAAAGAAGATTCCTACAAATCATCTGTTCATGCTTCCAAAGGAAAACATATTCCTATGGCTGAGGCAGGCTCCTATCATCTCTCCTAATTTTTCACCCCAAAATAGCCAGAACAGCCCTGGCCACTGTGGTGGAGTTGGTTGCAGCATCATCCTGTAACTGAAGAATTGTGGGGTCAAGTTCTAGTCAGGGCACATGCCTAGGCTGTGGTCAAATCTCTGGTCAAGGTACGAACGATTCCCAGTCTGGGTATGTATGGGAGGCAGCCAATCAGTGTTTCTCTCTCACACTGATGTGTCTCTCTTTCTCGCTCCCTCCTTCTCTGTCTAAAAGCAATGAAAAAAAAAATCTTTGGGTGAGAATAAAAAAAATTTTGAAAAAAAAAAAAAGAGCCAGGACATGTGCATATAGAATCTACTTATTTGAAATAAAAGAATTTGTTTTACTCTGTGAGAGCCATGATGTTTCCTGACAAAAACATGAGTATGAGGTGCTGTGAGCTACCACCAATAGTAATGCATTCTACTCCTGAATTGCTGTTGAGTCCTTCAACAGAGGTGAGTACTGTGATCTCTGATACTGAAGCAGAACAATGGGTTCTTAATGTAGAGGCAATTCCTAGTGCCTTTCTGAAAGATGCTGATTGTCTCAAGCTGACTGTGCTAGGTGATGAGAAATGAATAAGCAAGAATGACTGCTATGACCTCTGTACAGACAGAAGACAAACAGGGATGCAGGCACATTAAAAGAAAAATCAACAACTAGACAAAACAGATTCAAAGCATCCTGATGTTGCGACTAATATCCATTAATATCTAAGAGATACAGTCTTCCCTGAAGAAACCATTTAAGGGGAAAGATGGGACAACTTTAGGCATAAAAATAACTGAAACACAATATACCTTACATACATTGAAAGCTCTGCTATGAGATAGACAAAAAGCTAACTCAGCTTCCTAAAGTTCCTCCCATCTCTCCAAAAAGCCTAGGTTGCATTAAACAGAGGGTATGCCCAATAAACAGTGTTTGAAGAAATTACCAAGTAAACCTAGACTGTAAGAAAATGAGGCTCAGGACTGGAAGTGCTTTGCCCCAGAGCCAGAGAGTAATACATATCTGAAAGCATCATAACGATAAAAGTGAATATTTATTGATCATAGCCAACATCTCTAGGCAAGGTATCATCCTTAATTAACATTTAAATTATGGACAAACTTATGAGGCAGGTACTATTGTTATCCTTGTTTAGAAGAGAATACACTGAGGCATGAGTAGTAAATACTTGGCCTAGGAACTCACAACAATAAATAGAAGCCTGGCTTCTGAGGTTGTCTGTCTTCAGAGTCCAGATTCTTATTAGACAATGAACAGGCCAGTCAGAGAGGAAGAAACTCAAATGGCAAATAAATATATAAAAACATAAAAAATATAACTACTATGCAGTGAAATATAAATTAAAGCAGTGAAATACCATTTTTCACTTTCTGGTGAGGATGCCAAAAAATGGGAATGTGAATTGTTACAACCTACTGGGAAAATAACCTGTCAGTATTTGAAGTATTAAAAAGACAATAACCTCTGACTCAGAAATCCCACTTTGGGGAATTTCTCCTATTGAAATAAAAGCACATGTATTTAAGCTTATAAATATCTTATAATATTACAGTGTTTATTGTGTATTCTTTGTAGAGGCTAAAAACTGAAAGTAACCTAAATATTCATAAATAGGGAGATGGTGAAATAAAGTCTGAAATATCCATATCTGGAATATTATACAGCTATGAAATGAGTAAATTAATCCAGGAACAGCTATGAAATATTTTAACTGACAGAACAAGGTGCAGAGATTGAAGACACTGGCCGAGTAGGTGTAAGCTAAGACCACTTGCTCTTGCCCGACTCAGATTTTCAGCTGGTCTTCCAACAGTTAACCCCAACAATAAACGGAATCTTAGCTGATAGGAAGTTTTGAAGCCAAGGAGTACAGAAGACACTTCATACTGTCCAGTAAGGAGATGTTGTAAATTGAAGGGGAAATACCCTGTGTGTGGCGCCTGGCAGCAGCAGACCAGACAGAAATCACAACTTCGGAGCACCCTCCTGTCTCACAGCAGGGGGCTCTAGTCCCACACAGGGATCTCAGCCCTAACTGGGAGAGACTCAGGAGGATATACAGAGTCTGGGAGACCCAGGACACACACACACACACTTTCACCCTCTCCCTCCCTCTCTCTCTCTCTCTCACACACACACACACACACACACACACACTTTCACCCTCTCCCTTCCTCTCCGTGTGTGTGTGTGTGTGTGTGTGTGTGTGTGTGTGTGTCTGCAGCCACCTGTGACCATGAGAGACATTTTGCTTTTTGGGGAGGGGATATATACAGAGAACTAGACAGCAATGCAGTACTGTGGTATGGGTACCCCATAGTCTTTTTAAAAAGGAACTGAAAAGTGGCTGGACAAAGACCACACATACAGATGCTCTACTAGCAAAGAGACTAAACTGAAAGCGCAGTTTGTTTCCACTGAATACAGCTGGGTGGGGAGTTCAGAGAGTTGCACAACAAGGGGTTTGCTGGGCCCCACCCAGCTTGGCTAGTAGGCCAGAGGCTGCACAGAACAGAAAGTTCTGGATTGCATCTCCTACAAACACAGTGACCTGGGAGTTAGACAGACAAGAGTTGAGCACCAGAGATTCTTTGCAGCCAGGCAGACCCACACACCCTCATAGAATAAAAACATCTAGGAAGGGAGAGGAATGCCCACCTCCCTCCTGTGCAACAGTCCAGCCACGCTTAGTGGCCCCCTGCTAGGCACAAATCCTCAGGGGAAAGAGAGGGAGACACCAAAAGGGGGCCCTTCTGAAATTTACTCAACCACAAGACACACTGGCTCCTCAGTCCCTATTCTACTGAAACAGCTGGGT